GGAAAGTATCTCCCAAAAGGACATGTGTTAGAGCCTTGATCCCCAGCCCATGACACTATAGAGAAGTAGGAAACATTGAAGAGCTGAGACACTGTAAGAGGTCTTAGGTCAGTAAGAGCATGGCCTTGAACTGATGGGAGGATGCCTGGCTCTTCCTTTTGTTCTTTAAGTTGTTACCATAAAAGGTTTCTTCCACTATGTACAATCATCATAGGGTCAAAAGGAATAGGCCAACCAACTTCCAAAATGCGCCTTTCTCCCAGCCCTCCCCACACCTAGGATATTACCATGTACCACAATCAACCCTCAAATGCCCAATCCTCCTTCCTCATCCTCCTGAGAACTCACATGCACTACCATGTCCACTAACCTTTCCTCGTTCATTTTAAAAAAAAATCATTATCTATTTATTATAGTAATGGAAAATGGACTCACACAAGCAATGAAGAGTGGAAAGCATTCAGTACTGTGGACCTCAGAGCTCTCTGGTGATGAGAAATCTCTAGTCATAAAGACAGTTATTTAGAAAGCATCTGACAGGTGCAACATGTCAACTTAACAAAGCAGCAGGAGCTTCCCCAGCAGGAAATACAATTGCCAAAACCACTGACTTCCTACAGGTTTACTTTACATACCACTAATGAAATCCCTCCTTTGGGGTGGGCCTCACATCCAAGCAGAAAGCAGCTGGCTACTTCTATCACTACGCACGCATGGGCAGTAGTGTAACACTTGGAGTCTACAGCTGAGGAGGACTATTTGTGACCTTTCTCCCAAAGAGGTATGTAGAGCACTTCCAACACTGAGAATAAGCCAGCAAGGAGGAACGTGGAGCCCAGTTCCAGCACGACCCCTCTAAGCTCCACATCCAAACTGTGTAGTGTCTTTAACAGTAAGGAAGAGACTTACCAAACAATAGTCACATTGCTTCAGAGGCCAAACCCGGTCTCTCACTGTAATGGCTCATTATGAAAATGTTGCTGAGCTCACTCGTTGGACACTCAGGAGACAGCTTGTATAACGACAGCAGGCCAGACCCTGTTGTGAGGCAGGCACCGTGTGTGTGATTTTTAACAAAGCAGACATGGGCCTCACCTTCAAAAAGCTTTCAGTGTCCTGAGAATAATAAATGCATGCATGCAGAGAGTGTTCATCACAAAACGCAATAAACATTTTAAAACCAAGAACTTCAAAGTGGACTTATTTTGTACTGAAAGACAGATCTTACACGGTGAAGTGAATTTCAGATACCAGTTGAGCACTGTGTGCGTGGAAGGCCTTGAACACAGGTTTGACTCCACAGCCAGCCTTCTTGTGTGCTCTAGTAGCTGGGCTTTGTTTTTTAACATTAGCAGGATTCAAATATGTTCGAGCTATAACTTCTCATTTTATATTCCATTAAATTAATGATATTTATGTGAGATTTAGCAATTGTGTATCTCTTTCTGTGGACTTCAAGACTCTGACCTTTTCTCCTGGAAGAACAGCTCTTGATGTTGACCCTGCTTCCAGGCAGCTCAGATGGACCTGTTCATGTTTCTTGCTGTGGACTGCAATAAGCAAATAGTTTGTGTTGTTTGTCAGTGTTAGAGAATTACTGTGGTTCCATTTAAATTCTGCATACTACATTCTGCCAAAAGGAATCACTGGATAAAATTGAGGTGCCATTGCACATGTCAAATTTAAGAGTGAAAGTGGAAAGTTTATGAAGGCAAGGCACAGGAGGCTTGTAGCACAAAGAGCCTGGTTTCAGTTGGACAAATCTGAAGAGGTGTTATACAGTCTGAAACCTGAATGACTAAGAAAATTATACTTGCTTGATATGTCAATATTAAACTGTATATACTCATCAGAAGAGGAATCTTATCTTTTATTCCAGAGTTCTAAACAGAACCACTATACTAATATCACCAGGCAATTATTAACTTAAAGATTAAGGGTGAATTGACAATGTCCCAGAGTTCATAATTCTAATCACTAGTAATAAAAGAGAGGAAAATTACAGAGTCCAAATTTTATCAAATGCCTAAAACTGCCAAAACAGTAGCTTGACAATAAATATAAACTTTGAAATCAAACAAACTTCCAATCTAGCCCCTGCTCCATTAAGTAAACATGTTACCTACACTGCTGGATTTTGCACATGAAATGCCTCGTAGACATAGGTAAGACTCACTAAACAAAAGCAAGCAACAATTTTACATCAGTGAGGAAAGAATAAACAACTTAAAATGGCCACCAATCTCATTATAAAATTAATATATGAGTGAGACACAGCTTCTCTTTTCCCCTGAGACTGAGACTACAGGAACAAAGGTCCCAGCTAGAAACTCATCTGAATCCCTGCCAGAATGGGTACTTCAAAGTCTCCATTTTCAAGGTTTGTTTTCTGGGAATCAGACCTGGCACTGAATAGTCAATAACTCCGTTTTCAACATTCTGGATTTCAACATTCTAAAATGACTTATAGATTTATGGAAGCCACATAGTGGCTTTATGCAACTTGTATGGTAAACTGACCTCTCTTTTCTTCCATGTAGTTTTGTATCACACATGCTCTAAGGACTAATGATTATCCTTGGATTACAAGTGCATGTATACTATGTATGTATGACAAATGACAAGTCAGTCTTTGAGTGGGGAAAAAAAAAAATAATGGGCCTCCAAACTGAGAGAAGTGTTACCCAAAAAAAACCAACATAGAATACATGGTCCTAGAACCCCTGAACCATAAAGCTGCCATTCCACAAACTGTACAGTGATAGATAGATACTAAGTAGGCAGAAGATAGATAGATAGATAGATAGATAGATAGATAGATAGATAGATGATAAATGGTAGAAAAGCTCACTGCTACAGAGAATTTTTATAAAAGAATAGGTGTTTGGAAGGTTTGACTTGTTTTACAAGAATACTACTAACAACTTTTAAAATATGTTTCAGTAGAAAAATAAAGATGGAACCAATGAATTATTAAGGGTGGGTAGTAAGAGAGTTAAAGAGGCCAGATATGGTGTAAAAATCAAACAAACCAGCACTCAAGAGGCAGAGGCAGGTATATTTCTGTAAGCTCAAAGCCAGCCTGGTCTACATAATGAAATCTAGGACATCCAGGGTTACATAGAGAGATCCCTTTCTCTAAAACAAAAAACAAAAAAAACCCAAAAAGCATGTAAAAGAGAGAGCATGTACTATACTTTGAAAAGTTGAGTACAATAGCTTTATTCAATACTAAACTACTGAAGTCAAGAAGAGCTAGTGACTAATACTATGAGAAGATGAAAAACTGGCATAGCTAAAGAGAACATATTGACAAAGATGGCAAAAATATGTTAAACTTTTAAAACACGGAATACAGAACTTTCACATGATCAAAATGTAAAATATGTAAACCAGGGTCAGTGAGATGGATCAGCAAGTAAAGGCAATTGACTCCAAGCCCAACCATTTGAGGTCAAGTCCCAGAGCCTACATCGTTAAGGAAGAGAACTGAGCCCTTTGGCTTCCCCTGACACACACACACATGCACATACAAATACACATTCTCACACACACTAAATAAGGCAAACAATTTTAAATATGTAAAGCAAAACATTAAGAGTACTATAAGAAATGAAAGTCACATAATGATGATCTCAACAGTGTCTCGTTAATTAATTTATAAGCTGTGAGGCCTGACTCCAGACTCCAAAGTGCTTATCCTTAGTGATAATCAGGGAAACCAAGACCATAAAGAATTACACATCCTTACAAACATCCACAGAATCAAATTCACGTCTGGTGACTCTAAGCATGAGTTTCTGCATCCAGTCACACAGAGAGGTCCAGTCTTTCTGTAAGCATGAGTTGCTCTGACCACCACAGTTGCACATCCTGGAATTCCCATAGTAGCCAAAGGAGCTGTCAACCAGGATAAAGTCAGAAGATGACAGCCAGACTAAAGAGAGAAACAGTCAGTTGTGGGGCAGAACTTTAAAGCAGGATACAGCGAGAGGAACTTGGGAGACATTGAACTTTTCTACACACCATCGGAGATGATGGATACATGATTTTTATGTAGCCACTGACTCACTGTGATTAGAAAGAGAAAAACCAGATAGAAAGGGGGGATGTACAAATTATGGTGGGTTCATACAGTAGAGTGTTCAACAGTAAGAAAATAAACTACAACTAAACCATTGTGGATGACTGGAAAGATGACTCAGCAATTAAGAGTACTGGCCACTCTTCTAGAGGACTTGGGTTCGATTCCTAGAACCTAGATGACAATTCCCAGCTGTCTATAACTCCAATTCTAGGGGCTCCGGCAACCTCTTCTGGTTTCTATGGGCACCAAGCACACATGTGGTACACAGACACACATGCAGTCAAAATACCCATACACATTAAATACTACATACATATACATACATACATACATACATACAGACAGACAGACAGACAGACAGGCACTGTGAACAATCAACAGAACTAAGGGAGAAACACAGAGAAAACCTGGAAGGGTATACACTATGAGTCTATTCACACAAACTTATTAATAAACAAAATTAAACTATTCAATAGGAAAGCACTAATAAATAGTAAAACCACAAATGTGCAAGGAAATTATTATTATTATCAGGGTGTAAAACAGAAGAATGGGTGGGAGGAAGTTCCAGAACAACTGAGATGACCTTTGCTTAGTAGTTATTTGTATCTCAGCCTTACACAATTAGTGTACTTTATCTATTCGATATATTGTAATAAAAGGTTTTTTTAAGTTTATTAAAGAAAACGTCTTGGTGGCAGCTGGCAGTGATGGGTTTATAGACGAACTATGACAGTACAAATGCCAGCTCAGGCAGGGCTGTGATTGGAGAACCAGCCAGCAGGAGTGCTATTTATCCAGTGTCCCCAGCACAGGACACAGAGCATTCTGGGTAGAGGTGAAAGGCCAGAGTCAGCAAGACACTTCCAAAGCAAGCTTCCCAAGGAGAATGGGCACCCAGGGAAAAGTAAGTGAATAACCTCTCTCAGCACTGGGCTGCTGCTTCTGCTGTGTCTTTGCACACTTGCTGAAGATGCTTGCTTCCCGGTTACACTAGAGGCACCGTGACTGAAGTCAACTAAGGTTAGGAGCAGTCCCCAAGCTAGAACTCTGCTCTAGAGAAGAACGACTCTGATTTGCCAAAGTGTCCAGGGCACTCCCACAGGATTTAAAGGGGATGGGGAGGAAATGAGTTACCCGTGCTCTGACATCCATCCATGCAGAGCGTAGTTAAGGCACGTGAACCGATGGGATGTAGATTCTGAAATGCTGTGTATATATGACTCCATGGAAGGACACGCCAAGGCTTTTCAATGTAAAGAGAAAGTGATAAACGTATATGTGGGGTTTTTTCCTCCATTACAAAATATCTTTTAATGAATATACACCACATTTGTGATATAAAAAATACCAATTTAAACCATAATTAAATATTGCCTAAAAATAATGGAGAATTTACAACAATAGTTATGTAGTGGTCAGGACAAGGGATTATAGATTTCCTTTCAACTTTCTTCCAATTTTACTTATGTTTGAAATTAAAAATGTAATTTTAGACTGAAAACATAATGTAAGAATTAATTATAAAATCTTAGGTGTTTAAGTTTTTTAATGCACTTTTACTCAATTCTTACAAAGAGAACATTTTTTATTTAACTTACAATCTACTAATAAACTGATTGTGTAAGCCTCACTTCCCAGATTTTTTACCATCTGGAGACCTTAGTTCATCATGTTAGTGGACTTAGGATGGGACTTTCTTCTCTAACAACTCCAGAGTGATAGGAATACCTGCTGGACCAAAGACTGGACCAAAGCCCACACTCTAAGTAGCAAACCAAAAACACACGTAACAACCTCAGCTCAGGTACTTCCGAGCTGATTACAAATGCCTTTGGCCATCTATCAAAATCTTAAGCCTTACAATTATATCTCCTTTGTTATGGAGATAAATGTGTAGGAATAGTATTAGGGTGAAATTTTATATATTTGTTTCTTCAAAATATAAAAATTACCATGGTTATAACATAGACATTAATTTAAGATCTCCTCTCCTGAAAATAATGTTAGTATATATGCAACTAGTTACAGATTCCTTTTTTCATGTAACTATGACATTGTCCATTTTTGCAAAAAAACAAAAACAAAAAAAAAAAACAAACTTGTTTTCTTTCTCGCTCTGTCCCTTCCTTCCCTCACCATCAGTCTCCACCTCTTTCCTTCCTCTCTCCTTCAGGTTATTAAATGCAAGGCAGCTGTTGCCTGGGAAACTGGCAGCCCCCTTTGCATTGAAGAAATTGAAGTGTCTCCTCCTAAGGCACACGAAGTTCGGATGCAGGTGAGTGGAGACTTTAGCTGGGCAATATAGACACGGCCTTGAATATAGAGTTTCCACTATGGGTGGCTATATTTTTAGATCCAGATTTTAAAAGAGGCAATATCATTCTTTTTTTTTTTTTACAGTGGGTTTGAAATCTAACTCAACTATCTTCACCTTGATACCAACCCTAAGTATTAGCAAAGTACCTTGTTTTGCATTAGAATTAGTTAGGTTTTCTTTTTATTCTCCAAATACTAATTATGGAGAAATGTTATTAAAAGGAAGAGAGATGTAGCCCAATGCAAAGGAGGTTGAGAACTTGGAGAGCCTCCCCAGGCAGGCCACATAGGCCATGGGTGCCAAGAGGAGGGATTAGGGATGGGTCAGTAGGGAAGTAGAGCAGAGCCATTAATGGCAAGCCCACAGTCATCCATGTTTCCCTGGACCTACCCATCGGGTTTGTGTGTGAGGATGCAGGAAGAAGTCTCATGGACAAATCTGAGGAATCACACTGGGACAAGTTGAAGAGTGGCTTGGTTTAAGTACAGAAGGTCTATTTCCTCTACTACAGCTCATGCAGTCTCCACACAGCAGAACGAGTCGTGTAGACCCATGTACTCATTGCTGCCTGGTGTCTAGTCTCTTGTCTCTTTTACTTTTGATTTTTGTCTCCTAGAGATGATATCCCCAACCCTGTGATTTCTTTTTCTAGAAACAATGAAAATTTGTAAATTAAATTGGATTCTAGGAAGAAAAGAATATAGCCTAGTACATTTTGTATGTCCTCTTTTCCCCCTCAAAATGTAATTTTTTTACTAAATTCTAGGATTGCTATAACAATTCAAGATAACATTGGACCTAAGAAAACACTGTAGAACCACAACTCAGGTCTGTCTTGCTTTGTAGGTAATAACCACGTGTGTGTGTCCTACTGACATCAACGCCACCAATCCTAAGAAGAAAGCTCTCTTCCCAGTAGTCCTTGGCCATGAGTGTGCAGGAATTGTAGAAAGCGTTGGGCCAGGAGTGACCAACCTCAAACCAGGTATTCCACCTTCTGATTTCAACGGAATAGACAGTCCTAGCCTTTTCCATGATAGCTCCTGACAACTCTCTTTGCTTTTTGTGTCATGACTGTGCTTTTTGGCTTTGCTTACAGAGTTCATCTTTCCCAAAGGGGCACCGACACAATCTGTCATGGTATAACAAGGAAGTAGAATATTTGCAAACAGAACAGCCCAATAAAGCCTAGAAATACAGCCACTTTATTTACATAAACAGAGATATTGTCCTATTTAGCAAAGCTCTGTGGTTAATGTACACTGAAGCTTCTGTGGTTCAGAATACTTCCTCCGTGTGAAATGGAAATTTATTTTACGGTTATGTAAAGAGTGAAAGCTTGCAGGAGGCTTAAGGGGAAAGCACCACACATGTCAGTGTTAGCTTAAGTGTTATTTTGGAAGTTCATAAGATAAAACCTGATATCCTGAAGCAAGCCAAAGGCTCATTATATTTTGTAACATATACAGTGTATACTGGTGTGGGGGCCTTGTCCGATCTGATGAGCTATATCAGCCCTGCATCCAAACGTGGGGGCATATTAGTATTCTTCATTCCAAGTATGAGCACAAAACCAGGTTGCTCCCTCAGAACCATGAAGCCTTGAAGGTATGACCAGTGGAAACCTTTCGTCCTGACTACCATTTACTGGCTGTATGACTGGGGCCACTTACAACGGTTTTTGTGATTGGACTTGTATTTCGCTTTTCTAAAATGGCAGATGTGAGAAGTCAAATAATAACATTAGCTAATGGTGCTGCCACACATGAACTGCTGATCACATGAGAATTATCACCACTTTGGTCATCAAAGAACCAAAGCCATTGTGGAGATGGACGAGGAGCTAGAACATGTAGGATTTAAAGGTGAATCTGAAAGGTACAACATGGGCAGTGAGTGTCCTAGCCTGGCATGTCCTACCTCCTCAGTCCTACAGTGGTGTTCTCAGTTCCAAACAGAGTGTTTGAAAAGACAGTAAAGAACAGTCACAGTCAGAGATTTAAGTGAGCAGATTCCCAGCTAGAACCCTGCACCTGTTAATACCAGTTCAGGCTACCTGGCTGCCTAGCAGATTAAAGAAGAAAAATTCACAATCTTCTATCTTACTGAAAGAAAATATTTTTGCTACTTATATATTCTTGTTGAATATAAAATGTATATACTATGAAAAAAAACTTTTTTCTACTGGTTTATCTGAGAGAAAGTTTCTGAGGGCTAGGAAGCAAGCCTGAGACTTTGCATAAAATAGGCAAGTTCTCTACCACAGATTTATAACCTAACTGTGCTTCTAGAAACTATAACTACATCTTAGGTACTACCTAACATGTGGCCTTTCTTTGTAGGTGACAAAGTAATCCCATTCTTTGCACCACAGTGCAAAAAGTGCAAGCTCTGTCTGAGTCCTCTCACAAACCTCTGTGGGAAACTCCGGTAAGCTCCCTCCACTGGGAATAAGAGGACCCGTAGACATGCATGTTGTGAACGCACTGGGCAGACGTAAATGGAGGGGAAAGATGAGAACCTTCCAGTTACTAATGCTACTTCCATGTGCATGTGTACTTCCACTGTTCCAAATACACATGGCAATTAAAACCCACAGGAGTGTCCTTCAGTGAAAAAACAGGTTGATCCACTATATTACAGTAACACAATAGACTACCATACAATAAAAATAGCTGGACTATTATATAATGTTAAATATATACAGTAGCCTAATCACACATGTTAAAGGAGAGGAACAAGATGCTAGAGGGCATAGTATATAGTATGCCACAAAAAGACAGTACCAGAGTTTACGGTTACATATGTATGTAACAAAGCAGAAACACATCACTGGAATGATAAATTCCAAGTTAAAATCACATCTACTTCTAGGGGAGTGAGAAAGAATATGGAAAGGCACATTAATTCACTCCAGGGCCATACAACTTCAGATCCTGAAAACAGATTTTTAACACAGACACTGGGGCTCAACAGGACGGATCTCAATCACCTCCGACTGATTTTATTGAAACCATGGAAAGATGTGTTTGTCCCAAATGCTGACTGAAGCTTGTTATTTAGTAAGTTAAAACCTGGGCTGATGGGCTCAGCAGTTAAAAGCAGTCACTACTCTTACAGAGGACTTGGATTCAGTTATCAGCACCTATGTAGGCTTGCAAAACTACCCGTAACTCCAGGTCCAAGAGATCCAGTGCCCTCTTCTGGCCTCTGTGAGCACCTACACATGTGGTGCATATAAACTCACCCACATACAGAATAAGCAAATCTTTTATTAAATAATAATAATAATAATAAGTTAAAGCCATATTACTTATATCTATCTATGCCTCTGTTTCTCCATCTACAAGAAGATACTAATGTCAGTTTTCAGGGTTGAATTAAAAGTATATTCTTCTGCAAGCCTTTAATGGAATGATAGGTTTAGACAATGGCCATGAATTCTAATAGCATAAAAAAAGAAATATTCAGATACAGTGACCCCCCCAGGTGAAAAAATGTGAAGTCTGAATCAGACATTTCATTAAAACTTTCAGATTTAAGAGGCAGTGCTGAAACAGAGAACCCAGATCTCGGGGGGGGGGGGTGCATTAACCTAGATCTCAGTAGAATGATTGGCAGCACTCATGAGGAGGGAAACTATGGGACTAGGGACTCCAGTCTTGGTAAATGCACTGTGCCAGCTTAAAGGAATCCTTGAGAAACACGTACAGAGATATTTCAGTACAGATGAAATAATTTGATATGGGAGAAGACGGTGGCAGGTGAAACTTGACTGACCAGAACTTGACAGTTACGGAAGCTGGAAGGTAAGTATATGGACGGCCACTGTACTGTTCAATTTTTAGTTTTATTTGAGCCTTCTATCAGAAAAAAAATGAATTAATAACATAGCCCTTTAAAGGGCTTCTGACATACAGAAAGCACTCAACAGAGGTGCGCTGGTATTGACACTAACATAACTCAGAAATACTATGTAAGGATGCAAAAATATCAAGTTATTTTCCCAACCTTTCCAGTAGATTCCATAAAACTTTCATGACAAATATATGACATCTGATATATATTCTTCATTGTGTGCTTCTCTTTCTCCAGAAACTTTAAATACCCCACTATTGATCAAGAGCTCATGGAAGACAGAACCAGCAGGTTTACCTGCAAAGGAAGATCAATTTACCATTTCATGGGAGTCAGTTCGTTCTCTCAGTACACTGTGGTTTCAGAAGCCAATCTTGCCAGAGTCGATGATGAGGCAGACTTGGAGAGAGTGTGTCTGATTGGATGTGGCTTCTCATCCGGCTACGGGGCTGCGATCAACAATGCCAAGGTACACTGTTAGATTCTAGGCTGTCTGCAAACACAGGTTACTCAGAGACAATGCTGTGTAAAGGAGTTAGGACTGTCTTCACACTGGCTGCGGTGCTTATTGTCACTATAGTTACCTAGGTCATTTATGACCCCTGTGATTTTCTTTTCATATGTTCCGCGGATTAAACCCCAGGCCTCGCACCTGCTAGGAAAGTACTATACCATTGAACTAGCTTAGCCTCTGTGATTTTATGTGCATTATTAGATGTCTCTAAATAATAATATTAACAGGTATGAGCATATTAAGTTAGATTGTGTACATAAAACACTGACTTAATAAGCTACAGCTTAATATAGCTGCCCCTGGTTTATATAAAGCCCATTTAAACATGACCTCTGAATATGAAAGCTCACCTGGGGACAACGGCAAGTGGAGAACCCCACCTATTTCCATTTAGTTACCCCGCTCTCTCCCTGATTCTGTAGATTATTCTCCCTCAATCAATAATAATTTACCAATTTCCCATCCCTTTGTGGTTTTAAGAGGGTATATTCTTGAAAGATGTGTTCCTGGGATCCTATTAGAATTTGAACACTCTTTTAAGGCTAACTAGGTTGCAGTCAAATAGACAAGATGGTAAAAATAAAAGATCGATCTCCTAGGCATCCCTGAAGCATTCCAAGGAAGAAGCCCCATCTCTCCCTGCTGACTTTACTCAACACATTAGATATATGTCAGTCTATTAGTCTATCCCTATGTCTCCCTCTCCCTCTCCCTCTCCCTCTCCCTCTCCCTGTATCACTCGCTCTCTCTCACTCTCTATCTCTATCTCCATCTCTATCTCATCTCTATCTCTCTCTCTATCTCTATCTCTATATATATATATATCTCTATCTCTCTCTCTCTCTCTATCTCTCTCTCTCTGTCTCTGTCTCTGTCTCTGTCTCTGTCTCTATCTCTTCTCTATCTCTATCTCTATCTCTATCTCTATCTCTATCTCTATCTATCTCTATCTATCAGTCTGGTCTACTGATCAAGTTTCAGGACAGTGGGACTATACAGAGAAACCCTGTCTCGAAAAGTGAGAGAGAGAGAAAGAGAAACAGAGACAGGAAGAGGTGGAAACAGATATACTGACAAAGAGAGACAGAGAGGGAGAGAGAGACAGAGAGAGAGACAGAGAGAGAGAGACAGAGAGAGAGAGAAATATAGATTCAGAAATATACATACCTCTGACTCAATTTCAATGGGGAAAAACAACTCCTTTGAGATTCTGTGGACTTTTAAATTGTTTTCTACCATCATTGAAGGGAAAGGTAAAATATGAGAATTTCTTCCACTTGGGCTGGCTCCTCTGAATTGATATGTGAATGGTGAATAGCCCTTGTGTAACTACAAATTTTGGTTGGAAAGCATCTGTCTTCACACTGGCAGGCTGTCACCACTGGATACATCAGAGTTTTATAACCAGCATTCTTTATTTACTTATTTATTTATTTACATGTGTAGGTCCTCATCTCAGCCTCCCTCATGAAAGAAAAAGCTAAGATCAGCAACTTTAAGTCACTCTGTACTTTTCCTGCCTGCAGGTCACTCCTGGTTCCACTTGTGCTGTCTTTGGCCTGGGGTGTGTAGGTCTTTCTGCTGTAATTGGATGTAAAATAGCAGGTGCTTCAAGAATCATAGCTATTGACATCAACAGTGAGAAGTTTCCAAAAGCCAAGGCGCTGGGAGCCACTGACTGCCTTAATCCTAGAGACCTAGACAAACCTGTCCAAGATGTCATCACTGAAATGACCAATGGAGGTGTGGATTTCTCCCTCGACTGTGCAGGAACAGCTGAGACCTTGGTACGTGTACTCTCTCCCCATCCCCAGTCCTTCATTCTTGCTTCTAATATGTTCTTTAATCACCAAATAATAAGAGGAAATGGGCCATGTTTATAGCAGTAAATGTCCTTCTTAATACTAATATTTTTCAAAGGCAGACAGAAAAGAACTGTCAGCTGTAGGCCACCACCCACCCCTCCACATGCTAACTTGCCATCAAAGCTCACTGATGTGGTTTCTATTGGTTTGTTTTACGTTAGTGTCATGAACTACCTGTGTTTGGGTGCTTATTAGGGAAAGAAGCTTATTTAGCTTACATTCTGAAAGATGAAAAACTCTACACAGCACAAGGCCATTTGGGTGACTCTCCCATCTGCATCACCCCACCTGAATGGGCTGATGGTGGGATAACCTGTGGTTCATTAAAGAGGCCTCTCTAAAGATCCCGCCAGTTATCAGCACGCAGAAGACACGCATGACTCCCTCAAAGGCATAGTCAGACCAAGTCTGAGTCACGGTGCTTTCCCCATGCGCAAGCTCTGCGCACTCAGGTCTCCAAGATGGCAGCCATACCACTTACTTGCACGTCTTCGCTCTTCTGAGATCCTTTCTTATGAAGAAAATAATAGTTTCCGATTTTTTTTTCATGATGGTACAAACTATTGCTAACAGATATTTTATTTTCGATTAGCCAGGGAACTTCCTCACTGTATCAAAAAGAAACAAAAGGCAATGAGGCACATGTTGCAGACAGGTCGTCTCTGTAGTCTCCACTTGTGCTGCCCAGTTTTTTACTTTGGTGAACAATACCTAGTTTGTATTTGCTGAAGATGCTAATTTTATTGTTTGTTTGTTTGTTTGTTGGGGGATGAAATGGTCTTAGTCCTCTGCCTTGATTCTTAGAGATCGTTAAACAGAGTAAAAGCTATTTAAAAAAAAAAAAAAAAAAAAAAGACTTCCTGGTTTCCTTCCCGGGGTCTTACCTGACTAGGGCATTCTCCAGAAGAGAATGGAGTCCAGGAAGAAAGCAAGCACAGGCCACACACAAACCGCCTGACAGCATCTAGCAGGTGTGAAAAGCTGGTAAACATCGTAAACAGCTGCTGCTGGGGACAGCAGCACTCAGGGCTTCTTACCCTGTGCTGTGCCCTGTGTTCTGAGCTTCCCATCATGCACCCTGCAGTGCCCCACATCCGGTTTTTTTTTTTCCCCGTTTTTCACTTCCCACAGCTCATTTTTACAGTGAAAAGCAGCTTATGTGCTATGGGGTCTGTGTGTGTTAGACGCAATTTGCCTTAATTAGTTTTTATTGCTGCGATGAAACACAATGACCAAACACAATGGGGAGGAATTTGTTTGGCTTACACTTCCAGATTGTAGTCCATCACTGAAGGAAGCCAGGACAGGAACTCAAACAAAATAAGAACCTGGAGGCAGGAACTCCAGGATGCTGAGGCCATGGAGGGGTGTTGCTTACTGGATTGTTCCCTATGGCTTGCTCAGCCTTTTTTCTTATAGAACCAAGACTATCAGCCCAAGGATGGCACCACTCACAGTGGGTTGGGCCCTCCCCTCATCAATCAATTGTAGAAAATGCCCTACAAGTCTTGCCTACAGCTGATCTTATGAAGGCATTTTCTTAATAGAGGTTCCCAGGTCTCGGATGATTTTAGCTTGTGTCAAGGTAAGATAAAACAGGCTGGAGAGATGGCCCAGTGGTTAAGAGCACTGAGTGCTCTTCCAAAGGTCCTAAGTTCAATTCCCAGCAACTACATGGTGGCTCACAACCATTACAGATGCCCTCTTCTTGTGGGTCTGAAGACAGCTGCAGTATACTCACACATATTAAATAAATTTTTAAAAATCATTTTAAAAAAAGATAACATAAAACTATACACCACAGACTTCTTGAAAGTTTCTGTTGTTTGCTATTATTTTGTTATTTTGTAGAGTATCAGTGCCTGAGCCACACTGATACTCACTGAGCACACAACTGAGCCAGAGCTCTGTGCCACAGTCTGGGGGGAATTTCACTGTTGCTTGTTGTTGTTGTTCTTTTTTCTTTTTTACAAATAAAAAACAGTGATATAAGTCAATTAATAGAGCATGTTAATTTTAACTTGTTACATTTTAACATGTTCTATTACTAGCTGACTTATGAGTATTTTAAATTATAAACCAGAATTACACTAGAATTCAGATGAAACAAGATAAATCTATCTCTCTTGAAAGATGAAATACTTAGACTTCAACCAAAAACTCCCATATCTAAAAAAAACAAACCCATGTTTGGGGATTATAAAACAACTTCTAATTATGGGTATAGATTTGATTTAAATTACCTCTAATTTTCTGAAGCAGTCTAAAGAACCTAACAGAAGAGTTCAAAAGTTATATAACGTTAGCAAGCTTCTAATGTCTTGCCAATTCAAACAAAAAACATTCTTTGTTTGAGACAGGGTCTCACTGTGTAGCCCCAATTTCATGGAACTCACTATGTGAACTAGATTGGCCTTGAACTCACAGAGATCTGCCTCCCTCTGCTTCTCAAGTATTGGGATTAAAATATGTACCAATATACGCAGCCAAAACTAATTCTTATGAAGAGTCCTCTCTCGTCTGAGTAAAATCCTGTATTTGTATACAATCCCCATTCAGACCAACTTACTGTCATAAAGCTTAACTGCTGAACTAGAGGGAAGGCCAGAAGTGCAAACACAGCAGCAGGAAAGGATGTTACAACCAGGTCATGGTTGTTTGTATTTTCTCATGTGTATGTGAAATGCTTACATGTTTGTATGCATGTTTGCATGTATGTGGGTGCATATACACGTGGAGGCCCACGGCTAAAGTCCAAGAGCCTTCTTCCATCATTCTCCTTAAGAACAATAGTGTTTAAAGACTTCCTGTAAGCAGCTACTTTAAAGTGAAAAGTGACACCCACAGACTCTTCTCCTCTCCATGGGTCTCTCTATATGGTATGTAAAGATAAAAATGTTCTGTGTCATATACAATACAGAGAAAATAAGACTGAAGATGGTATCATATGCTGTTAATCCCAGCACTTGGGCAACAGAAGCAGGCAGGACTTTACTCTTGTAAATTCAAGAGCAACCTGATCTAAATAGTGGGGTCCAGGACAGCCAGGGTTATATAAGGGTTAATTTCTCCATTTTACTTTCCAAGTTTTGTAGTTTAGAGGGGGGTGTGGTTCTGCTGTCACTGCTGGGTTTTGGGGGGTGTTGTTGTTGTCATTGTTTTGATTTAGTTTGGTTTTGTTGGTGGGGTTGTTTTGTTTTATCTTGTTTGGTGATTTGATGGTTTTGCTTTGGTTTGGTTTTGGTTTTGGTTTTGGTTTTAGAGTCTTACATACAGCTGTCCTGGAACTTGCAATCCTCCTGCCTCAGACTCCCAAGGGCAGGGATTATGGGTATGTACCACCATTTCCAGCATTGAGTTGATTTTCAAGTATTAGGAATTCTCAAAATAGGAAATAAACACACATTAAAATAAAAACTTCAAAGAATATTCTAATTTTCTAGAATGTGTCTCCTTCCAGGAAGAGAACAACTACATCTTCCTCCGTGCTGAGCAGTGTGGAGCCAACCAGGTCTATACCTGCCCTCTGTATCAGTCAAAATGTTTATGTTTGCCTTATGGTTTCTACACGGAATGACCTTCCACACTGAAACTTACATTTTCAATTCTTAGCATTTTTCCATCAGCCCCAGACTTAGAGTTCTCTGTCTCAGTCAATGATTTCCTTATGTCTAGGCAATTCTCCTGGGCTATTCTTCCACATATTGACTCAGCAGTTAAAGCTCAAACCCACAGCCTCACAATCTCAGCAAGTGCAGATATAGCAGACAGGATGCATCCTAACTGTTGGCTAAAATGTGTAGAGAAACAAAGCGTTATTTTCTAGTCTTACCCAGTTTTAAATAGCATTTCTCCCTCTTTATCCTCCTCTGAAATCTAAGTATTCAGTGTGTGCCTCATTTTACAGGCTCTACAGAATCACTTACTGGCTCTCTCTTCATACTTTTCAATATTTTCATCATAAGTCCCTGGAATTTCTCATATTTTAGTAAATGTTTGTGACCGATTGCCAAACCAGTACCGATTCTTCTTACCTCTATGGTCTTGTTTCCCAGCATCCATGCTACACACTGAAGTTTCACCCAAACGATGGTGTTTGTACAGAGTAAGATGTGTCCCATTTCCTTTCAATATCTTTTCCATGAACCAAGAATGATTTTGTACGTTTTACACAAAACAGTTCACTGAATGTTGTGATAATATACTGAACTTGAGCCTATTTATAACTGGCAACATGGTACAAACAGTTTCCGGAGCACTGTATATAGTCACGCTAGAGTTCATGTCTTTTGTTTGACATTTCAGAAAGCAGCTGTGGACTGCACTGTAATAGGCTGGGGGTCGTGCACTGTGGTCGCAGCAAAGGTTGATGACATGAATATACCCACCGTGGACATTATATTGGGCCGTTCTGTGAATGGAACATTCTTTGGTGGTCAGTTTCTTTCTCCATAGTTTTTAATTTTCTTCGCTATAATATGAAATTATAAAATTATCAAATTTTGAAACAAAAATAATTTGTATAAACATTGAGTATACAAAAACTAATCCAGTATTTGAAAAGTCAATGCAGTTTATATGGAAGTATGACTATAATTTACAAACGGAAATTCAATATAAGTGGCTGAGCTTAGTGGTACAAGCCTATAACCCTAGCTCTCAAGAGGATGAGGCAGATAGATCCTAAGTTTGAGACAAGTCTTCATAGAGTAAATTCAAGGCCTACCTGAGCTGCATAACAAGAACCATCTCAAAAGAAAAGGAAAAAATAATTCAAGTGGTATTGAAATGAGCCAATCGACTGAGAGTAACAAAAGGGAAAATTTGGTCTAATTAAGATAATTTCTTAGATAGCATGGATAATACCCTTGAATTTTCCTTATAAAGAAAAACCTTTTTTTTTTTTTTTTGAAGATGGCTTCTCTGTGTAGCCCTGGCTGTTTTGGAACTCACACTGTAGGCCAGGCTGGCCTCAAACCTAGAGATCTTCCTGCCTCTGCCTCCCAAATGCTAGGATTAAAGGAATGTACCACCATTACCTGGCAAAGAAAAACATTTACATATAATAAATCCATAAAATTAAGGATAGAGTAAAGCTTGGTGTATATAAAGCAACCCAAATCTGACCTAATAATTTCACCTCTTCAATAATCACACTTAACTAGATTTAAGTAAACAAAGCAAAGACATTAAACTAAAGGGGGACCAGCAGGAGGCGGGACAGGTGACAAGAGAGATTATTCATGGAGAGTAGATATTAACAAAGTATATTATGCACATGTATAAATGCCATAAAAATGTCTTTAAAGGAGAAAAATTAAGGCCGGGCGGTGGTGGCACACGCCTTTAATCCCAGCACTTGGGAGGCAGAGGCAGGCGGATTTCTGAGTTCGAGGCCAGCCTGGTCTACCAAGTGAGTTCCAGGACAGCCAGAACTACACAGAGAAACCCTGTCTTGAAAAACCAAAAAAAAAAAAAAAAAATAAAAAAAAAAAAGGAGAAAAATTAAACTACATCTGTATGTAAAATGGCATGCCTTTCTTTATATGACACTGTGGCCAAATTACAGGTTGGAAAAGTGTAGACTCTGTCCCAAACCTGGTTACTGACTACAAGAATAAGAAATTCGATCTGGACTTACTGGTGACCCATGCCCTACCTTTCGACAAAATCAATGACGCAATTGACCTGATGAACCAAGGAAAAAGGTAAACTGCAAAGTTGATAACTCAGTGCACTAGAAATCCTTTATGATTTTTTGTTTATGACTTTTTATCTACGTGTTATCTGTGTGTGTTTATGTGCACCATGAGCAGGTAGGTGCCTAAGGACGCCATGACAGGATGTCAGACCCCCTGGAAGTAGAACCACAGGCACTTGTGAGCCATCCGATGTGGGTGATGGAGACTGAACCTGGGTCCTCTACAAGGGCATTAAATGCTCCTAACCAGTGAGCCATCTTTCTAACCCCAACCTTTATGGTTTTTATTTATTCTAAGGACCAACCAGGTATCTCTTGAAAAAAAGAAAAGCTTCCATTTTCGCAATACACAGTGTTATATACTGTGCAGTATATAGTAATGGCATAAGCTGATTGATGAATTCTCTCTCACAAACAATTTTTAACTCAGGCCAGTTAGTCCTTAGAAGAAAAGATTTCTATAGTATAATGGTAGGTTCCCCGGTCCAGTGTACCCACATCTAGAATTGTCTTCTGTGGTTTGACAAAGAGCATTTGTGGTCAGAGCACTGTGCAACTGCTGAGCTATGAGCAGAATGGCAGGAATCGGGTACACACAAGCACTGCAACTCTGTCCTGCCTTGTCCTGGGGCTCCTGTTAGAACGAGCCATTTACTCAACCGTTTTAGCTGTACTGTGCATCTCAGGATGTGTTTCTAGGTATTAATTTATATCAGTCCTTAAAATGAGGGCTTCCTAGAGGCTAGGGACTATGTAAGACTGGGATTAATTATTTTAGCTAAATTACAGCTTTTATTAATAGAAGCAAAAAGTGAACATCAAGAATAATAGTATTTAGAAGAGAAAAACTTAAAAGACATGACAAGAACGAGGAAGGGTAAATAAAGCTGAGGAGACCAAATGACAGTCAACGTGATAAGAGTTGGAAACGGAGAATAAATGTCACCGAAAATGAAAATTCCTACTTTCCCCCAGTCTATTAACACTGTCACAAATATTATTAATATCACGGATGGAGAAAGAGGACAAAATAGAAGACATGATTCTTAACAGCTTGGGCTTCTACTAAAGGAAGGAGTGGAGCAAGAAGGGGGATGCAGTGAAGACAGTGAAAGAGCATTGTATACATGCCTTAAAATATCACAATGAACCCCATGATTGCATATAAATAGCACATGCTAATTTTTAAAAGATGTCTCTAAAGAAAGACTGGATCAAACTCTGAAGCGAAAAGGAAAACAACCTGTGGACTTTGGATGAAATGTTGAGATAAATAGTATTTATTGTTGTATTTCTTTTATCAGCATCCGGACAATCCTGACCTTTTGAAGATGCCAGGAGCAACTTGGAATGTTATCTGATTGGATCCGAGCCTGTCTGGATGACTTATTACTTCACATGACGAGCCAAAGAAAGCTATGAGTTTAAGTGTGGATTTGCACGTTGTATCAACACAAATTAACTATAAATTATATATTTCCTCTTTTCGCTTGCTGCTACTTAGGGTTTGGTGGGATTTTTGTTTTGGGGAATTTTATACATGAGCACTGTACTTACATGGTTTCTATCCCACTGTCTCCCTCTCCAGCTCCTCTCACTTCCCTTCCCCTAACTCTCAAATTCATGACCTCTCTTCTTCCTCGGTTACATACATATATGCACACAGATGTATATACAGATGGAAACTTCTGAGTCCATCTGGTATTATTCATGTTCTGTATGACTGACTGCCTAACCAATTGGGATTGGATAACCTATGGGGTGACTCCTTCCTGGGGAAGACTGGTCTTCCTCTGTTAATAGCCATTAATTGCCTGTAGGTCTTCATCTAGGGGTGTGCCTTATGAGAGTTCCCTGTTCACACTGGAATCTCAATGGGTGTTGTCACTGTCCAAGTCTTGTATAAGAGACCATGTCATAAAGATTCCATGGATGCAGCTCCCTGTAATTAATATATAAAAGACATTGTCTGGAAGCAGATTTCTTGTTTTGAGTGAATTTTTTCAAAAGTGTTTTTTTTTATATTCATCTTCTCCCTAATCAATACAATGCTTAACTAAAGATTGAGATACTATTTTTAAAAATTGCATATAAGCAATGCAGTTTTCAATAAGTAAAATACAAGAATGTCTACATTCTGACAGCTAGTTCCTTTCCCTACATGCTCTCATTCACTGATGAATGCTGCTTTTTGAAAGGGTAGATGCAGCACAAACTGATTTTCTAGAGTATCTGACCATTGTACCAGACTAGAACTTGATTCCCTCCAAAGGGGAAAACCCAAAACTATGGTTTGCAGGGCAATGTACTGTCTGTTGTAGAGAACTGTCCTGATCTCTATTTGCTAATGCTTTAGTCAAAAGATGAAAATTTTAATGCACATATACCATTGACCTTCTTTGGGATATTAAATCTGCTATCAAAATATGTATTCCCCCACATAACAAGGCACAGGTTTTATTTCTAAAGGCTGGTTTTGTGGGTCTAACATTAGTGACAATATGCATCCATTCCAGTAGTAGTGGGCCAACACTTAAGTTTAGAAGGCAGTCTAATCACAGTACTACGACACATTTGTCTGAAAAGCACAAAGAGTTTTCACGTAGTCACTATGTGTCTTTGGTACCTTTGGTTTCCAAATGCTACCATAGCACCCTCTGCTGTCGCTTTCAATTTTCCATTTCCTAGATGCCATTTTCACTGAAAGAACTCAGAAAGAATAGCAATTTCTATTGACATCAATGCCGTCATTATAAAGGGTCCCTTCCTATGTATTATGTAATGTGATTCTCAAACACTTTCTGCCCCTGAAGATAGGGCCGTGTTCCTAACCTGAGCACATTACAGAGAGCAGGCCCTCCAGCCACTCAACCCCCTGTGAATTGTACAAGGCAGACTTTACTAAGTGCATGAGCCTTGTTACAGGGCATACACACTATCCTCCCAGCTGCTTTATGAGGATGGTGCATCTACAGGCTAAACAGTTTTTCTTGTTTTTGGTTTTGATGATTGATGTTTGGTTGGATTTTGATTTGATTTGCTTTGCTTTTGTAACTCTGTTTAAAAATGTAGACCATGCTGGTCTGGACCTCACAGAGACCCACCAGCCTCTGTCTCCTGAGTGCTACAATTAAACATCTGAGTTGCCAACCCCAGCCCATGTACCTGTAACAGACTCCTATAAGCAACTGCAATAAAGACATTGGTTCACCAAACTGACGCTTTGTCTCTTAATGCTCCATCTGGGATAAAGAGAAGACTCTCAATAGTAACCAGTAAAAGTCATGCAGCTATCCCTCTGTCTATTTCTGTCAATCAAAAGCAATCTACAGATTCAACGCTATCCCCACCAAAATTCCAATATAATTCTATACAGACCTTAAAAGGATAATCCACAGATTCATATGGAAACACAAAAACCAAGGATAGCAAAACAATACTGAACAATAAAAGAATAACTAAAGGTGTCACCATTTCTGATTTCAATGTGCACTATAAAGCTATAGTAATAAAACCAGCATGGTAATGGCATAAAAACAGACTCCTTGATCAACAGAATCAAACTCAAGAGCCGGACATAAATTCACACATCTATGGACATCTGACTTTTTATAAAGAAATCAGAAATAGACACTGAAAAAAAGATAGCGTCTTCAAAAAATGGTTCTGGGCAACTGGATGGTTGCATGCAGAAGATTCCACACTGACCCATACTTATTACCCTGCACAAACTCAACGCCAAATCAAAAAGTTCAACATAAAATCAGATACACTGAACCTGATAGAAAAGAAAGTGTGGGATGGCTTTGAACTCATTAGTACAGAAAAAGAATTTCTGAACAGAACACCATTAATGTAGGTACTAAGAACAACAATTAATACATGGGATCTCATGAAACTGAAAAGCTTGTGTAAGGTAAAGGACACTGTCATCAGGACAAAGCAGCAGCCTACAGAATGGGGAACAGTTTTTATCAATTCCATACCCAATACAGGACTAATATGCAAATATATAAAGAACTCAAGTAACTATATATAACAAAAAAAAACAAATAACACAATTAAAATGGGTACAGATCTAAACAGAGAATTCTAAATAAAGAAAACAAAACTCAAATGCCTGAGAAACCCTTAAGGAAATCAGCATCCTAGTCATGATTCTCATGCTGCAACCCTTTAATACAGTTCTTCACGTTGTGGTGACCCAGAACCATAAAACTATTTTCAGTGCTACTTCATAATTGTAATTTTGCTACTGTCATGAATTATAATGTAAATATCTGATATACAGAATATCTGATATTCGACCCCCAAAGGGTTCACAACCCACAGACTGAGAACCACTGAACTTAGTCATCAAGGAAATACAAATCAAAACTACTCCGAAATTTGATCTTACACTTATCAAAATGGCCGAGATCAACAAAACAAATGACAGCTCATGCTGCTGAGAATGAGGAGTAAAAGAACACTCAACCATTACTGGTGGGAGTCTAAATTTGTACAGCTACTTTGGAAATAAGTATGGCAGTTCCTCAGGAGACTGAAAATAGATCTACCTCAAGATTCAGCTATATCACTCTTAGACAAATATCCAAAGGACCCTTCAGCCTACTACAAAGATACTTGTCCAACAATGTTTATTGCTGTTCTATTCATAATAGCTAGAAACTTGAAACAACCTAGATGTCCATCAACTGAATAGATAAAGATGTTCCATTGTATGGTTTTAGCTTCTTTGTCAAAGTTCAAGTGTCTGTAGGTGTGTTGGTTTATTTCTGGATCTTCTATTCCATTGATCAACCCGTTTTATGTCAATACCATCTGGTTTTTATTACTATTGCTCTCTAGTATACTTGAAATCAGGGAGGGTGATATCTCCAGAAGTTCTTTTATTCTACACAACTGTTTCAGCCATCCTGGGTTTTTTTTTTTTTATTTTTCCATATGAATTGAGATCAAGGGGATACAAATTAGAAAGGAAGAAGTCAAAGTATCGCTATTTGCAGATGACAGATAGTATACATAAGTGACTCTAATTGAGAATTGGTTTTTCAAGGTCTGTAAAGAATTGTGTTGGAATTTTGATGGGAATTGCATTGTGTCTGTATATTGCTTTTGGTAAGATGGCCATCTTATGATATGAATTTCTTTCTTCAGAGACTTGAAGTTCTTGTCATCATATCTTTCACCTGCTTAGTTAGAAATACAAAAAGATATTTTATATTGTTTGTGGCTATTGCAAAGGATTTTGTTTCCCTGATTTCTTTCTCAGCCCGTGTATCATTTGTGTTCTGATTTTTTTTTTTTTAGTTTATTTTGCATCCAGACACTTTGCTGAAGGTGTTTATCAACTGTGGGAGTTCTTTGTTAGAGTTTTTGGGGTCACTTACATATACTATATCAACTGCAAATAGCAATACTTTGACTTCTCCCTTTCTAATTTGTATTCCCTTGATCTCCTTTAGTTCTCCTAATGCTCTAGCTAGAATTTCAAGTACTATATTGGATAGGTATGAAGAGAGTGGGAAGCCTTGTCTTGTCACTGATTTTAGTGGAATTGATTCGAGTTTCTCTCCATTTAATTTAATATTGGCTGTCAGCTTGCTGTATATTGCCTCTATTGTGTTTAGGTATGCACCTATCCCTCATCTCTCCAAGGCTTTTAACATGAACGGGGTGTTACATTTTGTCAAAGACTTTTTCAGTATCTAATGAGATGACCATGTGGTTTTGTTTCCGTTCAGTTTGTTTATATGGTGGATTACATTGATGGATTTCTCATATATCAAACCATTCCTGCATCCCTAGGATGAAGCCTACTTGATCATGGTAGATAATGTCTCAGATGTGTTCTTGGATTTGGCTTGCCAGTATTTGATTGAAAATTTTTGCATCAGTGTTTATAAGGAAAAAAGTCTGAAATTCTCTTTCCTTGTTGAGCCTTTGTGTGGTATAAATATCAGGGTGACTGTGGCCGCATAGAATGACTTTGACTATGTTCCTTCTGTTTCTATTTTATGGAGTAGTTTTAGGAATATTAGTATTAGCTATTCTTTGAAAGTCTGGTAGAATTCTGTGCTTAAAACCATCTGGTCCTGGGCTTTGTTTTGTTTTCTGATTCTATTTCCTTAGGAGTTATAGGACTATTTAAATAGTTTACCTGATCTTGATTTAACTTTGGTAAGTGGTATCTGTCAAAAAATCATCTATTTCATATAGATTTCCCAATTTTGTGAAGTACAGACTTTTGAAGTAAGACCTAATGATCCCCTCTGTCTGTTGTTATGTTTCCCTTTTCATTTCTGATTTTGTTGACTTGAATACTGTCTCTCTGGCTTTAGTTAGTTGGTTAAGGGCTTGTCTATCTTGTTGACTTTCCCAAAGAACCAGCTCTTGGATTTGTTTGATTCTTTGTACTCTTCTCTGTTTCTAATTTATTGATTTCAGCCCTGAGTTTGATTATTTCCTGCCATCTATTCCTCATAAGTGTGTTTGCTTCTTTTTGTTCTAGAGCTTCCAAGTGTGCTTTTAAATTGCTAGTATGAGAACTCTCTAATTTCTTTATGGAGGCACTTAGTCCTATGAGCTTTCCTCTTAACACTGCTCTCACTGTGTCCCACAAGTTTTGGTATGTTGTATTGAGATATGCCCTTCCTCCCAACCCCCATGTACTATAGCCATTTTGTTCCATGCCTGCCAGCTATCTCATATTGTTGCTGTAATATGCCTGCCAGTCATTGACACAGAAAAATAACTTGACTCAGAGCAAGGTCATGCTGATCACATATCTTGTTATGTTCTACAAAACTTTCTGTAGGGCCCATTGAGTTAAAGGTCAATATGAACTGTTATGTCTAAAATGCTGGTTGTGCCTCAGATGGACCTGGCAGGGGAAGGGGATGGGAGGAGTCTAACCTGATGTTCCTGGGGCCCCATAGTCCTCCTTGGGAAGGCAGGAAAAGCCGAGTGCCAGACAATGGAAGTCAGGGGACAATGTGCAGCTTACCTCTACTGGCTGTGCCCCAGATGAACAATTGCTTCAGGTGGACAATTTTTTTTTTTTAAAGACTGGGTTTCTCTGTGTAGCCCTAGTTGTCCTAGAACTTTCTCTGTAGACCAGGTTGGCCTTGAACTAAGAGATCCACCTGCCTCTGCCTGCCCTGTGCTGGAATTAAAGGTATGCACCTCCAGCCTGGCAGGTGTTAAGTCTTCAATAAGCAAACTGTAATCCATGTAACCACAGAAGTTAGGTATAGAGTAAGAAACTAGGGGGGAAGAGATGGATCTCCCAGGGAAGGGAAGTTATGGATGGATGGGGGACAAGGGGATACACAGATGGGTGAATCGTGTGGGGAGTGGGAGGAAATATTGGTAAGGGAGGAAATACAGGGAGGGATATCTAAAACTAAGGCCATTTGAGAGGTTGTATGGAAACCCACTACAGTAGAAGCTTCCTAAAATATATACATATACGAAGATGAGCTAAATAAAATCACCAAATAACAGAGGAAACAGATGCCCAACTGAATATCTCTCATCATCAAATGAAGTACCAGAAGTGAGCTACATCATAGTTGAGTTGTTGGCAAAGGAGTCCACGGGATCCACAAGACAACCTAAGCTTTTGGTTGACCTTCATAACACTGTTCAGGTGGCTGAGAGCCTGACACCAGATAGCCCAGGTACCGAGGGGAAAACTAAATATGACTTCTTCGCTGAAGAAACATAGTCACACCATAACTGATAACAACACTGTGCTACATTCAAAAATGAGTGCCTTGCTCAGCCATCATCAAAGAAGCTTCTCCCTGCAGTAGATGAGAACAAACACAGTCCCACAGCTGGGCAATGTCCAGAGAGGAAGAGACCGGAACACTTCTAAATGAATGTTTCCATCAAAACCCTCCCTCGGAGCTCAGGGAAGCCCATGGAAGAGGAGGCAGAAAGATTGTAAGAGCCAGATGAGATGGACAACATAAAAGAAACGAGGCCCTCTAAACACACGACTGAAGCACATACAAACTGACACAGACTGAGGGTCCCAGCCCTGAGAGGGCAAGTGGACACAAGCTCCCACCCCCAACCCAGAAGCTATCTCTAATTGCTAACTACTCACAAATGAAAAATTACTTCAGCCCAACGAAGTTACACTGGGGACATAAAGCACTATTAAGTACAGGTGCCATCATGCCCAGCAGTAGATGGCTAACAGGGTT